GGAAGTCCACGTTTAACCCTTGAGCACCCTATTTTTAAAGCCAAACTATGGTTAGTGTCCCCAGAAATGGTATTGGAATAACTCAAATCGAATTCTTTATCTTTCAGTGATAAGTTCAACCTCCTTTCTTTCCAACTTATTTTGAAGCAAGAATCTGCTGGAATTCACTATTAATCTTGCCATCTAGGCGGGCAGCACAACATCTGCGGGAAGGGCATTCGGATATCAGTGTTCGCACTACAAGTCTGTACGAAATTTCAGATCCGCTTATTTCTCGTTTTGTCCCCCGTAAGAAAATTATTAATGTTGGGGATGAGGTTTTCCTACCCTTACCCTTTCGTCGCAGATTGCGCAGGCTTTATCGTCGTTTCCATCTTCAGAATGATGTTTCTGTTCTGCCCTTGATTTGTGATATTTTTAATCAAGCTAAGAGATTGTCTGAAGAAAATCAGCTAGCCGAAGAGGTCCAGTTTACCGAAAACCATTCGTTAAATGTCTCGAAATTTTTCTGTAGAAAAATACGAACTCAGAGAAAGACGCCGTATCCCATCCTTCGAGACGATCTCGGAAATCCCATAGTTGATGCCCTGTTAACCGCGGATAGCATCAATGATTTCCTGTCCAAAACGTTTATTGAAGACTCGACCACTCCGCTTCCGACCGGGGCAGTTCTAGAAACTATAATTTTCACTCTGTGGGATGTGACTCTGGCGATTCGGTGTTTTCGTAAATCTTATAGTTCAGGCCCTGATGGTATCCCAGTAAGCATTTTAAAAGCCGATGCAAACACGATCTTCCCATCCCTCTTATGCAAGATATTTAATCTTGCTCTTGAAAGTGAAACTTATCCTACCTTGTGGAAGGAATCACACATTCTGCCCATTCCAAAGCACGGCAAATCCACGTCATTTGATGACTTTCGGCCAATAAACACCCTCCCTGCAGTTTCGAAGATCTTAGAGACATTGATCAAGGATAAGATGATGTGTCACTTAACAGTGAATAACCTGCTCAGTGCTACTCAGCATGGATTTCTCAAAGCTCGATCATGTGACACCTGTCAGCTTTCTTTCTTTGACTATGTTCTCCAATCTAGGGACAATGCTATTGCACTTTGCACTGTATATTTCGATTTCACTAAGGCTTTTGATCGTGTTGACCATGCTCTTCTTCTCTTGAAACTGTCCTCTTTCGGAATAGGTGACAAACTTTTGAATTTTATATCCTCTTACCTGGGCACTCGAACACAACGACTTATAATTTCCAATACCATCTACAACCCCACACGTGTGAGGAGTGGAGTCATTCAGGGTAGTGTACTCGGCCCGCTTTTATTTTGCCTTTTCGTTAATAATGTACCCGATTTATTTCAGAATGGTAAGCCTTTCATGTATGCCGATGATCTTAAAGTTGCATATCGATATAAGCCGGCAGATCATGACATCGTGCTTGAGCTCCTAAAGAGCGATCTACAGGCTTTCGCACAGTGGTGCCGCACATGGCGCCTTTCTCTTTCTTGGCATAAGTGCTCAGTCATGGTGGTTGGCGAAGACCGCCAACCTCAACTAAGTATTGAAGTCCACGCCATAAATGTGCCTGTGGTTATTAAGGATCTGGGCGTATCATACTCCAAGAGTCTCAATCTCTCGGAGCACTGTGCCTTGATAGTCTCCTAAGCATGTAGAATGACCGGGTTTATCCTCCGAAACTTTAAAACTAAGGACATTAGAATGCGCCTTTTCAACATGTACGTTAGACCTGGTCTGGAATACTGTTCGTTTTTATTTAGCCTCATGCGTGCTACTGAGCGGAAGAAAATAGAATCCGTTCAATACTTTTTTACCAAGAGAATTTTAGCCGCGGAACACCGACATTTGTCTTACCAAGAACGTTGCCGGCTTACGAGCCTTGATCCTTTATGGTTCCGTAGATTACAAAAGGGACTATTTTTGCTATTTAAACTCTTATATACTCACACATTTAACCCACTCCCCTCTTTAAGACATCACATCCACCCACGATGTACCAGTCACCGTGAGGTCTTTTTATTTCTGCCTCTGGCACGTACTGTTAAATATCGTCGGTTGTATTCTGTAAATGCAATTGCTATTTGGAATAAACTACCCATGAGTGTGAAAAATCTGCAAAATTATCCTTTATTTAAGAGAACTATTACTCGATTTTTGCATTCAGAAAAGCTCCCACAAATTTTGGGTGCTGAATCCACTGACCGGCTGCGCCTGCTGAGCGCTCAACGTTACTGGGTGAACTCAGAGGTTGATTGTAGTGACAAAGGGAAACCTGGTCCCAATCCGGCCCTTTTGCAGTCGGAATATTTGTAAAAGATCTCTGCACTTTTGCCCACAAAATTCAACAAATCCTTAATCAGCCTCCCCCAAATGGGAACCAACGCAGAATTCGACCGTTTTTTCTGGATGTATTTAAGCACCAAATGTGCACATGGGGTGTTCAACGGCAAATCAGCGGACACAGCCTCACTGCTAACTGGTCTTTAAACGATTGGCGACCATCAGCTCATGAACCAACTTACCTCACTCTGCCAGGAGACAAACCAATAAAGACATTAATGTCGCCAAATTTGTCCACCCATGGAAACGCAATGAAATTGGCATAGGTTGTACACCACCTCCACATGACAGGCAAATCGTTTTCCCCTTTTACACGGATGATACGACAGTTCTATGATACAGTGATTATTCGTGTCAAATGCAATAAGAAAAACTCTGGAGCACTCACAGTGACGAATGGGATCAGGAATGACTTTGCACTTGATCTCACCCTACCGTAGGAGACCAACAAGAACCAAGACCGCCCGCCAAACTGATGGACAATTGCCCAACATCCCACTCGTGCGTTCAACCGCGCGAGTCATTACGATCGGTGATCATGATCCCCTGTTCCTGGGTGATTTTTCGCTTAGCGCCATGAAGGGATCTGAAATAGAGCGTAGCATAGGCCTTATTACACCCGGAAGCACAGACTTCGGGTTGACAAGCAACATGAAGTAATAGTGGCTATATATCAGACGGCACCACCTAACGAGTGGAAAGTGTCAGTTTTAATGTGAACGGAACTTACCTCACATCTATAGACAAATCCGCCTGCATGGGAGATATTATTTAAAGAAATATCATGATCGGCGACGAAATTGCTGACTGAATCTCTAAAAGCAACCAGTAATTCTGCTAGGTGCGGCAGTCAGTTTAGGATCGTCGCGGCCTTCATTGGAACACGAAACTGAGGACGTACTCTGTCGCAATCTTGACAATGTTTCAGAGTGAAGCAGACATATTTAAGGCATGCGAGACTCAAGTGAGGAAACTGAATCAGTTCCCTTTAAGTCAGTTTATTAAGGGAATGAGGCTTTCGCCCTTGAGCTCCCTATTCATATCGATAAACAGAAATAGAGTCAATAATTACATCAGAAAATGCGGAAATTTAAAAGTTTACGGTAAGTGTGAGCCAGGCGCAAACCGCTGCCGCCAAAACAATCGTGATTATATGTAGAGTATTTTCTCAGCAAATGAGCATCTAGTCTACACTTAAAGGATTCGACATCTCCTCTGCTCTGTCGAGAGCAATATACTGAAAAGGCACGAGCGATTCTGTCTGAAGCCGTGCTGCAGGTCTGAGAGTAAGTGGTTCTGATCCAGAAACTTCATTGTTGCTTTCTTAGGTATGGCCCCCATTATTTTACAGCAGATGCAGGTAAGATTAACAGGTCGGTAATTGTTAGCATTAGTGCGGCTCCCTCCCTTGTATATCGGAAAGATATTTTCTGTCTTCCATTCCGACTGCAGCCATCCTTATTCGAATGACGAGCGGAAGATGTGTTCCAGTGGTTTAGAGAGATCGTTCGCCAATTCATTCAAGAATTTGGCCTGACTATTGCCCGGACTCGAGAGCCTTGTTTCTTTGAGATTTTGCAGCTCCTTTTCCACGACAGCTGCCGGGAACAGTATGGAATCAAGCACGGGACCAGCGATCTTAACAGCTTTGCAGACACTGCAACTACGAAACTCCGTTTCTCTAGTAACAACCGAGGCAAAATACCGTCCTAAGTGTTCTGGCTGTTCTTAACGATTTGTAAACCATTATCATCTTTCAGTACTGCAGCCGGGTCCTCGGTTTTCAATCTACTGTTAAGATAGTGAAATAAAATTATAGGCTCCTGTTCAGCCTGTCGGAAAATTTTGGATTCATACGCCTTCTGTGCCTGACGGATATATTTTTGACTGCATTCCGTTGACGATGAAATTCTTTGAAATGCGCTGGTGGCGCAGTTTCACTGAATAATTTAAATATTTTGCTTTTCTACCGTAACTGCCTATTTAGGTGCCTAGTTAAATGTGGAGGTCAACTAGTTGCAAGTGTAGTTTAGGTAGACAACATCGCCGATTTGGATCGAGGAAAATCATCACAAATGACCTCCAAGCGCCCTCCGGATCTCCCCTGAGCAAACGGACCCAACTGACTCACAGGGACATAGGGACATGGAACGGACTCCCTGATGCAGTAGCTGTTTCCGAACTTGTCGAATCCTTTAAGTGTAGGCTAGATGCTCATTTGCTGAGAAACTACTCTACATATAATCAACATTGTTTTGGCGGCAGCGGTTTGCGCCTGGCTCACACTTACCGTAAGCTTTCGAATTTCCGCATTTTCTGATGTAATTATGGACTCTATTTCTGTTTATCGAAACAAACGACTCCGATAGTTCCTGAACGACCACGCAGTGCTGACGATCCAGGGGTTCATTTGGTCTGTTTCCGGCGGCCTTGTCAGCTGAAGGTCTCAGGAGATCCACCGGAGACGTGTGGGGTTTTATACTCCTGTTGTGGTGCTTACCAATTCCATCTTGCCACGAGCTTGATTCCTCTCTTCCAACCGAGGGTACTACTGAACACGCGGAATGGCTGAGAGAAATTGATGGCTCGCTTCGGTTGTCTTCCGTAGAATCAGGAGACTCCGTTGCTATTTGCCCATCGTCATTAATATCGGCGTCATTTCAGTGAGGTTTTTTACAAACCTTGTTCTTTGGCTGTTTTGGAATTTTGCTCTTCCATTTTGTCATGCTGACTCCAGCGCTGTTAACCGCGTTTTGCATACCATCGTTCGCTTGCACGAGTTCCTTTAAAGCAGCCAGCTCTTTTTCCAGTTTTTGGACTTTAAGCAGAATATAGGAGCAACCAGTGCGCGGCTCGTACTCGTAACAAACAGATTTTGCTGTGGTTACGCTTTTAGCGCGCTTTGCGGGCCCTGGTTGTAACTGTAAAGAGAGCGAACGCTAATCCTGAAAGGCAAGACCATGTCAATCTACTTTACTTCATGGATAATGCCGGTCCTGGTCGTGAAACTATCAAAAAGTTGCTCTGTGTCTATGAGTTTCGTGT